GTGTGAAGTATCTGCAGAAGGTCAGTTATCGCTTCTGAGAGCGTTTTCAAGTGAATGCAGCCTCATCTCCAATATTTGAAATGTAGAATGGTTCTGATACTGGAAACGTGCACTAAAAAGATGGAAAACAGAGCAGTGTAACTTCTCGCACAATAAACCCTTTCTAAAACTGTCCTTTTGAAAGGAGAGGTGGAATTGTGATTTGTGTGCAGTCCTGCTGCTGGGGGAGGGGAGGGGAGGGGAAAAGGAGGGGCTGAGAATCGCATTCAACCTACGTGATAACAGATGTTGTTAGGTTGATTTCTTTGTCATGTTTTAATCAAGTCGTCAGCAGGGAGCAGTGATGCTGGGATCTTGTCCCATGCGGCCATCTGCTGTGGGAAGACAGGAAAATCTGGATGGCTGAATATTTCCTGCCTGGGCTGAATGCTTTGGGCATGTAGTTCCCTTTGAAGTCAGTGGGGTGTGGTTAATGTTTTAAAACTCAAGCAGAACTCAAGGCCTAAAACGTTGCAGCAGATGGAAAACAAGCCACTTCAAAATGGTAGAAGAATGACCTGGCAATGACTCAAGAAGTAATTTCTCTTGAATGTGATTTTCCAGTTTGGAGAGAGATGGGGAGACAGAGCAGGTGCAAATCACTGCCTTGCCTTACTCTGGAATAGAGCTGTTCTTGTTGTCAGGTTGTTCTTAAACATAAAGGGTGAAGATAAGAAACACTGGAAAATGTTTAAGGAAGGTATAGTTACTCTTAGAGATAAGAGTTATCTGTTATCTGTTATATCACACCAGTTATCTGGTGTGATATAATAGATGTCCAATGATGCAGTACAAATTTATACTTGCTGAAGTAGTAGTTGAAAAGCTTTTATGAGCAACAACTAATTACTTAGGATTGCTTTTTATGGTATTGCTTGCTAATTGTTTCTTTCATGGGGAGTTCTGTCTGGCTGTTAGACTTCTGGCCTCTGTTTCCCAGCAAAGCTTCATTTATGCTGTAATTCTGACTTCCTGAGCAGAGTCTTGGTTAACACGTCCTGTCAAAAATGACTTTTGTTCTTTGATAGCTAATGAACATTTTTTGTTTTACATTGCTTTAAAATGCTTGCACTTTTCTTTTCTAACTCTGGACTTTCCTCTGTGCGGCTGCCTTTGAGGTACTATTGCAGGTATAGTTTGGCTTTGTTTAATTTGCTTCTACAGAACGTGCATGCAGTGAAACAGTCTCAGAGTTCACATCAGCATCATTCCATCTATAAGCAGTCCTTACCCCATTAATATATGTTTTTACAGTGATTGGAAACATGGTAGGGCATTTGTGTAGTGATGGGTGATGTTTCAAACATTTGTGATAATGAACTGTTTCCTTTCTTCTCTTCTTTTAGGAGATGAAATTTATCAGGACATTTTTCGTGACTTTTCTCAAATGGCATCAAATAATCCAGAGAAGCTAAACCGTTTCCAGCAGTCAGATTCCCAGAAGCCTTAAGTGTCAAGAAGGAAAAGAATCTGCTCCTTACAGTGCAAGTCGTCTTTACGTTAACAGAATGAATTATCTGTGTTTTGTTAGCTTGGATAAAATGACCACTCTAAATGTAGCTGTAGATTGCGGTAGCTGAGGAATTGTATACAAGTTTTTATGTTGTACAGTACATATACCTCAGCAGCTGAAAAATATGTATATTATTAAAAAAAAAAAAGGAATACCTGCTAGCTCAGTATAGAAATAGTACCTGTTAGCAAGTACCACGTTCATCTGTGACTCGTGTGTGAAGTTAGCAGAGCACAGCTGTGTGTGTTGCAGATGGTGACCGAGGGTTCGGATCAGCTTTGCTCGTCGGTATCCTCTGCTGTCACCTGTCTCACTATTGCCATAAAGATGCACCTCTGACAAGAAGGTCTAGGTTGCATTTTCTTGGACTGTTTGGAAGGGAAATCAGGTAATGACTTGCTGAATCGTCCTTCTGCCTGTGGGTCTGTAACGTACAGCATTCTCTTGTTCCTGTGCTGAAGCTGGTTAGAGGCAGGCTGTTAATAACAAGGTGTGGGAGCTTTTCTCTTTTTCAAGCTCTTTGGCAGTGGAAGCTTTAACACCAGGCTGGCCTTTATGCTGGTGACTGCAGGTCAGTCACAGTAGGTGTATATCCCGAAGGACCAAATTTCTAAGAGTAGTTTATGTTTTTCTTTTTTCTTTTTATTTCCCTTTCTAAAATTAAGACTTGCTGTGAAGGAAGTAACTTTTAAATGAGCACTTGGAACCTTTCATGAGGAAAAATAAATGTAATCCTGCTGGACATTATCTGGGTTTTGTCAGTATTTTGATATCTGGACATGAAAATTGAGACGTTAAAGTAAAAAATGGAAAGCTGAAAGTGTTGTGCAGAACAATCATGCAAAGGCTGTTTGTCACCTCTGCTGTTCTCACTGCTAGCCCTAAGCCGTGTGTATAAAACTCCATACTGTAATACAGCCATCCTAAATTCAGGTCAATCAAGCATGGTGTAATATACACGTCTTTGCAGATTTTATTTACGTGTCTAAGCTAACATTTGCAGAAGGAAGTCTAGGAATTTTGCTGCACATTCTTGCAAAGTAACAAATGAGTGCAGTCTGCAGCTGTATTGAAGGCAGCAACACAAACTGCTTGTTTCAGTCAGCTCCACTCTGATGTGCGTGCATAAATGGTGTCTGTAGGTATGTGCTCGTGTGTCAGGTTAGGTAGTGCCTAGATCATCGTCACCTGAAGCCATAAGGCACTCAGTGCAGTTCTTTATGCTGTATTTGCCCCAAGGAAAACTTGAGGAGAATTTTTAGTTACATCCTTGTGTTTCTTGTCGTTCTGTTAGCTGCAGCACTATGCTGGCCTTCTGTATACGTAGGAAAAGAATGGGGTTTTTCCAAGTTGCTTAATAACCAAAATTGGGCAAAGAATTTTTGTAGGTTATGGTAAAGTTAAACTTTTTAGCACGTTAATATTTAACAAAGCTTTTCACATATATATTATTTTGCAGAAAATGTATAGCCATGCATTTAATCTGAATGATTCTTGATGCAAAGTTAATAACATCTGAAAAGTGAGCAGTAAGTTTTCCAAGCAAAAGAATCTTAAAAACGGTTTTTGCTTCATGTGTGGTGTAATTATGTTAGGAAAAGCAGATTCTGTCCACTTCAAGGGTGAGTTTAGTTGAATAATAAGCAACTTAATAGAAATTACTGCTTATAGATGATTCATAACCTTTTAAAATAATTGTCTATGAAATGCTAATGTACTTTCTAATCTGTATTTAACAGCAGTGAATGTTCTGTTAGTAGATTTTAGAGGAAGTTAAATGCCCCATTACAGACGGACCATGTAAGATACAGCTGTGTATGGAGTACACTTTACACATAGATTTCTTTTTTCTAAAGATGTGTGTCCTCTGCTGCCTACAGGACAGGCAGTGTGCAGTGTGATTGCTTGTAAAGCAAAGCTCCCTACAGCTTAGCGGCATAATCTGTCTCACTCCTTGCTGCTGAGCCACCCAATCCACAAGGGTATCTTCCTTCCCAGCCACAAAAATCTGTCAAACTTTGCAGGATAATTTCCTGTCAACAAAAGCTTCTTCCCGTAGCTCTGCAGATCAGTGTGCATTCTGACTCTGGAAAGCAGTATCAGACTGTTCATGCTGATGAGCGAGGAACATAGCTGATCTTTAGGTCAGATGACTCTTTCAGGAGATTGGAAGTTTCAGTGGATCAGGGATTAGGTGCAGCACTTGTGATCCCGCAGCCTTGTTCCCTGATCTTTTTAGGTACACTAGGAAGTCACTTTCAAGGTCAGGTGCAATACATACGTTAAGGTCTTGCTCATCAGCAAAAATGAATGTGTCATTAAGCTGCATGCAGTGCAGTGAGGGTGTCCCAGCAGATGCTGGCAGGCTCAGCACTCCAGGGCCTCTGCCTTGGAGGATTCAGCCCTCAGTAAGAGAAAGCATGATTAATTCCTGTGCTCAGATATGGATTTCCTTGAGTTCTGGATTGAGTGCTGATGTTCTGTTCAGTAATTCTAGGAAACTTTTATTTTTATAACAATATAAATTTGAGCAGAACTTCAGTGGTAGGCAGTAGGGTTCCCCTGCTGGTTAGCACATTGTACCTTATACCAGATAATGGAAAACTTCAGTTCATGTTTCTCCTCTAAGAATGAGCACGTATTCTAATGCATCTTAATTTCAGAAGTATAATTTCCTTATGTTGCATGTGAAGATGGTATCTGTGGTGTCTCCTATTGTTTTCATTGTTCATAAGGTTTCATGTTTTGTTGATGTTGGTACAATGCATGTAAACAAACTTATAAATCCTCTTTCTGCATAATGCTACTGAATGGTATTAGACATACTGGGCTGTGCTCCCTTAACTTCGGGTGAAGGCGGTGGGTTGCAGACATCCTGCCTGCTTCTGCAGGCTGCCCAACTGCAGCCTGAGCGCATTTCGCTTGCTGGTTGGTGTGTTGGAAGCCTTCAGCCTCCTCCCTGTTGGCGCCTAACCCAAGTGCTTGCTGGCATTGGGGTGGGCTCTGCCCCCTCATTTCAGAGGCTTTGTCTTGTAGCCTTCCGGGCTTCATTGCCACGTGTCATCCCTTAGCTGCGTTATAAGGAATCCTGTATTAACGCCGCTTTTTTCACTCCCTGGAGTTGTGTGTTTGATCCATTTATATGCAGAGCTGAAGCAGTTTCAGAAAATACAACCTGACCTTCCACACGTCAGCACCCCCCTAGGAAAGGAGGATTCCCCTGCCTTGCAGCGACGTCGGTACGCGTTACCTGAATTACTGCTCTACCACGGATAACTTTGCATCACCCGAGGAAAAAGGAGAGAGGGGGAATCAGGCCAGCACGGCCCAGACGTTCGCACCGCGCCGCGCTTTGTTCGCGGCCATTCCGCGCCCCCGGCAGGCGCCGCCTCCGAGCGCGGGGCGGGGCGGGGCCGCAGCATGGCGGCGGGCGGCGGGTAGCGGCGGGATGGGCTGGGCGCGCTCGCAGCCGTGCGCGCTGGCGCTGGCGGCGGCTCTGGCCGTGTGCGCCTTCTACTACCTGGGCGGCGGCGGGGAGACTTTCTCCAGCGCCACCCGCCGCCTCCGCGCCACGCGGGCCGCCGCACCGCCCGCCACGCCGCCCGGCCCGGCCCGCCGCGAGAGGACGGCGGCAGGAGGAGAGGCGGGCCGGGCGCTGCACCTCCTGATGATGTTCACCAAGGTGGAGCGCAGCCCGGCGCTGAGCGGTAAGGGCCAGGCCGCGCTGCGCTCCCTGCTGCGCCACGGACGGCTGCGCCGCGGGGACGGGCTGCACCTCCACCTCGTCACCGACAGCGCCAGCAGAGACATCGGCGAGGAGCTGCTGCGGGACGCCATGCGTGGCGCCGCCTTCCGCTACCAGGTGCGGCGGGGGGGAAGGCGGGGGAGGGGAGGGGCGGCCGGGTCCCCGCCCCGTTCCCGGGCTCGGTGCGTGCCCGGCCCGCTGCAGCCGGGTGGCTGCCGGGCGTGCGCTGCTCGGAGCCCTGCGGCACTAACGGAGCGCGTCCTTCAATGTTAGCTGGACTGCTGGAAGAGCCGGGGCTGTGTCCGCAGATGGAACCTCGGTGGTGTTCGTTCCAAGTATTCCTCGGTAAATAACCCCGTCTCCTCACAGCGCTCGGTCAGGTGCTTAGCGCTGCGGTACGCTCGCTGTGGCCGGCAGCGGGCTGCGGTCCGTTGCCCGGCTGTAGGCGGAAGCTGCTGGCACGGACAGCCTCCATGTCAGCTCCTACACGTGCATCTGTGCCCTCGGTGCCAGCAGCTCCCGGGGCGCTCGCAGCGGCAAGCTGGCAGAAAATAGCAGCACAGACACAAGGGGAGCTTGCAGCTCTCGTGCTGCTGCAATTCTGAAGAAGGCGGACTCTCAGTGCAGTCTTCTGGTAGCTCCAGCAGTAACCGTCTCTGCCCTGAGGCCTCTCCTGGCTTCCCTCAGGTGCTCCCAGGGCGCTTTCCTGGTCTTTATGCCGCTTTCCCAGAGCAGGTGCAGAGCTGAGGCCTGCTGAGTGCCTGGAGAGCAGCTGGAGCCACAGGACAGGGCTGCTGAGCCCCAAGCTGTGCTTCTGCGGAGCACTGGGGTTTTGGAACTGTCTTTGCCCGGCCCTCCCAGCAGAGGTGGGACCAGATAGAATCTCTGCTAGAGTGAAGGAGTCAGAGAACCTTCCCCTGGGGAAAGTATCGGGTCAGCTCTCATCACTCCCTGGGCACATTTGCAACTTCAGGCACTTACAAAGATCTCTGGAGAGTGCAAAAGCAGGCTGCAGCCTCCCCACGGTGTGCAGACAGCGAGAGCAGGGTGCTTTGGGGTGCACACAGCAGTGTGCACGGAACAGTATCTGCACAGGACTCTGTGCTGCACTGAGGGGTGGCCTCAGCTGTCCCAGATCCTCAGAGCACGATGGTACGGTGTCACAGGGCCTGCGATCTGAATTGCCTTGGGAGCACCGGCTGCATGCAGGTGTGTCCCAGATGCGAGCCGTGCCAGCAGATGGAGCCAGAGCTCCACAGCACAGCGCTGCATGGAGCCATGAGCGGCAAGCGAGCAGCATTGCTGCACAAAGGGCTCACAGCCTGCCTGCCTGGGCTTTGCCAGCAGTACTGGCCTGTGCTATGCTCTGTGCACCCCAAGCAGCACCTGCCCTCAATGTTTGCTACACTCAGTGACTTGTTTAGGTGGTTCCCTCCATGGGTACCACGCAGTGCCCTTCTCAAGCTAATTTTTAGAGCCCTCTCCTGGGACCACTGCTTTTCTGCCTATGCAATTCAGTGGCAGGAGATCTGGACGTTTGCAGCTGCCTCTGGACACAGAGCAGAGGTGTCCTGCAGCCACCAGCAGCTGCTCTAGAAGGAGGCTGGAGCCCCACGGCACAGTCCCGAGGGCTGGCTTTCAGGAAGCCTCGCTCTGGTTTCTACAAGTCAGCGCTTCTCACTTGGGCAGGCCCAGCCCTGTGTTCACAGCTCCATCCCCTCTGTGGGATGTGGTTATCAGCCACCTCGGTGAGGGCCTGTGGGAACCACAGTGGGGCGGTGGGGGAAGCCTGAGCTCTCCTCCTCCTCTGTGGGTCTGGCACACACCACCAAGCTGCCGTCACCCTGTTCTTATGGGATTGCTGCAAAGGTGCCCGCACCAGAAGGAGGGAAGCAAAAAGAGAAACTGAGTGTATGGCAGTTGTTTACTGGTGAACCAATTGAAGAGGTCCTTTCTCGGTGTGAGATGTGTTTATAAAATGTGTTTGTGTAAGAAACCCATAGGAAACCCACAGAACTTAGTTTTCTTTATGTCCTCAGTGAACTCACTCAGATTTAGCTACAGGGGTTTACTGAAAGCTGCTCCACAAATAAATAGTGAAGCACAAAATTAGTAACAGATAAACAGGCTGTGCTCAAGTGAGAGGAGAGGAGAGCCCTCTGCAGTGCTGCGGAAGGAAGATTCCTTGTGTCAGGAGTTTGCTTTGCAGAAATGCCTCACCAAAGGATGGGCAAGAGGAACACATTTTCCACTGTTTTCTGTGGAAGCAGAGGGAAGACACATTGCTGTGTCTGGAGTTTCAGGAGTGCTTTTCCCACAGTGCTTGTCCCCTCGTGCTTGGCACTCCTCTGCTCATTTCAGAGGTGATTAGAATTGGGTTGAACTCACTTTTTTCACCCCTACTGTGCTGTTTGTCATCTCCTCAGGTGGGAGAAGATTGAAGCCTGGCAGCTTCCATGGGGAGCCAGCACATGGTGCTGCAGCTGTGCTGCTGTGCTGTGTGTTTCTGCAGCGATCCCAGTGCTGCTGCTGAGGAAACAGCTGGTTTCCTGTGCCATGGCACTGTGTCCTGGGTGAGATGCTCCTGGTAACTGAGCTGTGATCGGGGCAACAATTTCAGCAACAAAGTGTGGAAGGACAAAGCTCCAGGCAGCTTCCTGCTGCTGCACCAGCCTGTTGGTATCAGAGCATCCCCTGCTGCGTCCCACGCACAGCACAGCTGCCACACCAGCTCAGGCTGCAGTGGTTGATTTTGAGGAATTGAAATAAAAGAAAAAAGCAATACTCTAACCTGTGTATTTACACGTATAGTGCACTCTTCCTAGCTTTTAGCAGATGAAGTTTTATTAGGGAAGAGGAGCGAAACCATAGAATCATTGAATAGTTTAGTTTGGAAGGGAGCTGTGTGGATCATGGGTCTGGCGCGGCCAGCAAGGAGAAGTATCTCAGCATCCCTCAACAGAAATAAAACACTGGTGCTGTGTTGTGTTCTCACTGGTGTTCAGTTCCTGCTGGAATTTTCCTGCTTTCTCCTGCCTGAAGAAGGCAGCATGACCTCAGGTCTCCAACTCAGAGTTGCTGAACTCTCTAATCTGCACCACGGTCATGTCCCTTGGGTCTGTTCGTTACACTGGAAGTTCCTCCAGTTATCTGGTGTGATTCAGTGACCTGCATCATTCTATGTGTAATAATGAGCATCGGCCCGCAAGAAAGTTCCCATTCATCTGACTTGGGCTGAAATTAATTATAAGCTTGTAAAATTTCGTTAGCTGACAGTTTATTTACAGTTGATCCTGGTTGGAGCAGGTGTGGTTTGCCTCACCGCTGAGCTTTCAAGTGACTCCTGAAAACTAAGTGCAGTGGGCTGCCGAGGTGTTTGGTTTGGTTCTGTTTTAGAAGTTGGTCTGTATTCTGTCGAGTGTGCTAACAGACACAGGCTGTAATAGAATGCCAGGGGTCCGTGTGCCCTGGGGTCCTGGTTCTGGCCGTAGCAGTGCTACCCACCTGGCTCCAGCATGGCACAGGGCACCCAGTCCCTTGGCTGCTTGTCACAGCACGGGGGAGCTCCCACTAGAAGAGATGTTCAGCTCTGCAGTAACTGCTCAATGTCCGGATTTTTCCCAGCTTGCCATGTCCTGCCCTCCTGTCCCTCCCAGCCCCAATGGAGACGTGCTGTGCAGCTTTCTTCACTGCTGGGCTGAGGTTCAGGAAATCCGGGCTCGGTTCCTGGCCGTGTCACAGCCTGCCTTTGTGGCAGGGAGCAAGTCTCGGTCCTCAGGGTGCATGACGTGGGCTGGCTTGCCTCAGAGCTGCAGGATGCCAGAGCCTGGGGTGAGCTGTCACCTCCCTGATTGACTCCATATGGAGGCCAGATATGTGGTTACATTTCTGCGGAGTCAGCAGCTGGGACCAGAGGCCGCGAGAAGATATCAGTCAAACATTTGATGGAGCCTCTCTATGCCTTTCTCACATTTACGATGTGGCCATAAAAATCCTCCCCTCCTGTCCTTGCTGCACCTAGCTGCCTGCTGTGGCAGGTGTCCACGTTATGCAGCTGGAACAGCAGTGAGCTGCACTGGGGCTTTGCAGCCTCCCACCTGTGTGCTGAGCTGAGGCTGCTGGGGGTGGCTGGGGGTCATGGCTGAGTGGTGCTTCTGCTGTCTCTCTTAGGTAATAATCCACGATGTCAGCGAGCTGACAGAGAAGCTGTTTCCAATCGTTGAAGCCATGCAGAAACACTTCAGTGCTGGATCAGGAACCTACTACAGCGACTCGATTTTCTTCTTGTCTGTTGCAATGCATCGGATCATGCCCAAAGGTAAGCCCCAGCTGAGCTGCAGGCACTGCCTGTACGTGTGTGCTATGTGACATGCAGAGTTAACAGGCATCAATGAAAAGAGGCTAAGTCACTGGGTGATGGCAGGAGGTTTCTGTGCCATACAGCAGGCTAGTGCTGCCCTCACACCTCAGGGTGTTAGAGAAGGCAGGACTGGAGCTGACCTGGCCACATGCAGCTGTGTATTTGTATGTGTGTTTTTACAACCTCCCTTCCCCTTGGCGTGTCAGCAGGAAGAGGTGCCACGTGCTGCAGCACAGTGAGGGTGCTGCCTGCCTGCCAGTGTCAGCTGTGCGGTTACTGCGCGCACCTTCCCTTCCTGTGGCTTTGATGAGCTCTTAGGAGGCTTTGCTGGTTTACAGCCACTGATCACTTACTTTCCTTATTGTGTTTTCACTGTTATTGAGAGAGGAAACAACAGTAAATCTGCAAGAAAAGGAGGCACCTGGCAAAGGGAGCTTGGTCCAGTTGCCCCACTTTCCTCCCCAGCTGTGTGCACTTATTTCTCCTAGGACCTACGTGCTCTGTAGCCTTGGATCAGTCAGCAGTTTTGCTGCCTTCCCGTCTCTCCCATTTTGTAGGTCAGGATTGTTTTTCTTATACTGAGGTCAGGACTGGGAGAAAGACTGGAGGCTTTTCCTTAAGAGCAGTGGCCAACGGTCACGTTGCTGTTGGCTTTTATTCCCTCACGAGCAGAGTGCTGAATGTGAGCAGTCACGCATCAGCGCAACAAGGGCTGAGCCCTGGGGCACAGTGTGAGGGGTCTGTGCCCTCTGCTCAGCAGGATGGGTCGCACACCCGAGCCCTTGTGTGGAGCTCACCCAGCCCTGCCCATGGGAGCACAGCTCCTCCCAGCATGATGCACGTGGTTTGTGTTCTCTGGGCCGCCTCCACGTGGGGTCTGGTCTGAGAGGGAGCCATTTGGGAAGCCCTCCCCATGAGAGTTACATACAGAGGGGCCTTCTTGGGGCCTGGTATGTCCTGTAGCCTCTGTGGTTTCACAAACAGTGTTTGCTTGTCAGACAAGGAGGAAGTGGAGCAGACGCTCCTTTCCTTCCTGTGTTCCCAGACCATCCTTTTGGGGAGGGTCACCATGCCAGTCATGCGCTGCAGAGGCACTGGCAGAGGCCTGGGTCATCCCACTGCGAGGCCTGCAGCCCACTGCCCTGCTGCTGTAGGGGCACAGGCAGGTGGGTGCAGTGTCTGGGGGCTCTCTGGTGTCAGTGCTCCCCACGGCACCCTGCAGGCTGCCCGCTGTGCTGGTGAAGGTGCAGCACTAGCGCAGAACAGCCACTGAGCTCAGAGGTTCATTGCTGCTGAGAATGGGAGTCAAGTTTTCTCTCTGTAGATTTACTCCCCATTCATCATATTCCTTCCTGAGTTGCATGGTGTCCATCCAAGAAGCAGACAGATATCCTTCTCCCTAGAGTCCTGGAAGGCCTCGTGCTCACCCATGCTCCATGTCTCCAGGATCCAGCAGCAGCTTCCCAAACATCTGCTGAGCGTGTGCTGAAGGCAGCAGATTGCTTCTGGCCGCCCTAGCAGCCCCCAGCTGCCCCAGCCCCATGCCTGGCACGCTGCAGGTACAGCTGCAGGCTGCACTGTGCTGCAGGCACTTGAAGCTGCCTATGAGCAGTGCAGCTGGGCACGTGGCAGCGGCCTGCTCCTGCTGCATGCCAGTGGCATCTCTCTTCCCTCGACTCTCAGCTGGCACCCACCACTTCCTCCGCAGCCGGAGCAGAAGCTTTTGCTGGCTGCTGCCCAGGCATAACATTTCCTGCAATCTTGCCACCACAAATTTCAGGCGAAGCCTTTCTCTTGCTGAGCTGTGAGCTAAATGTGGAGGACGTTGACTTTGTGGCCATGTGTCACTCGTGGCATGGAGCAATGGAGACAAACTGAAACATGAGAAATTCTGCTTACCTGTAAGAAAAAAGTACTTTTCAGTGAGGATAGTGAAGGACCAGGCCCAGGGAGTGCTGTGTCTTCTTCCTTGGAGGTCCTTAGAGGTGAAGTGGGCAATGGCCTGGGCTGTGGTTGACCTGCTTTGGGCAGGGGTAGGACTGGGCAACCTCAAGAGGTCCCATCCAACGTTGGCTGTGCTGTTATTCTCTGGTCTTAAGTGAATGTGCTGTACCCAGCTCTTTATTAGCCTTTGGTAATTTTTTTGTCTAGTGATGTCTGCATCATGAGTGCTCTGAAGTCTGTTGAATACAAATGACAGCATTAGTTCTGTCTAGTTCACTTGCTCTGTACCTCTGCTGCATCTTTACTGTGTGCTGAAGACACCCATATTATAGTCTACCAGCCAAAACCTGTTCAGACATACTGAGATGTCTTTCCTTGGTTCACCAACTATGGGCAATTTTGTCTTCTGAAAAGCTTGCTTGCTGTCTGTCATTTTGACAGGGGCTTGCAATGGCCTCTTTGGCACACAGGATGTATAAAGAGGCATTTTACAGTTTCATGAGTTTAGTTTTTGTTTCAGAAGCTGCTAGTAAAGCTGATTTATATTTCCCTTTCAAGGGAGGTCAGATGCAGAGCGGGGTGCCTGAAGCACTGGGTGATTTACGGCCTGGCAGGGCTTCCCAGCCCACTCCCTGCTTCCCGGCTGTGCAGTGGGGTTTGGCAGGAGGCAGCAAGCATACAGAGGGCTGGCAGTGCCCCAGGGCTGCTCCTGCTGCTCTGTGTCTGCAGGCCGGTCTGGGTGCCTGCTTCTTCATCTCCACTGCAGCTCAGCCACCTTAGATGTGAACTGCGTGAAGAACTGGCAATTCTACTGTGTCTGTATTCTTACCCACCTGTTTTTATGTGCAAATGTAAGAGCCTTCTGACTGGGGACAGGGAGGGCTATGCATTCGCTGTCCCCTGAAAACTCATGCATGGCGTAGGAATGGTGCTGTGCTCCCAACTTCCTTCCTGGCCTTGTCTCATTTCTCTGGAAGATTGGGGAACCAGTCCCTGGTAGAAGCCGCTTTGCTAAGGTGGAAGGTAAGTGTTTGAAGCTCCATTTTCCTGCACTAGCATGTATTTATTCTGGTGCATTTTGGTTCCACCTCACCCTGCGTCTCTGCAGGCGTGGCTGGCTCCTGAGCTTCAGCACCAGTTTTTGTGGGACCTGGATTTAATTGCGAGCTTAAACACGGTCCAGCAGAAATGAAAGCTGTGATTTGAATATTAAATTCTCTCTTGTGTGTTTGTTTGCATTTGTGTCAATGTCTGAACGTTCTTGTGAGAGCTCAGAACATTTGCATTTAAGTTGCCTGGCTTTAGGTTCCCGGGTTCATCGTTTTGAGATGAAGTGGCATTTCTGGCCTCCCATAACTTAGTGCTTTGTTTGAAGCTGCAGGTCTGGGATGGTGCAGTGACTTTGCAGATTGATGGCGCTCAAAAGCTGAACAGCAGTTGTTTTATTTTTAAAGATCTTTGTAGAACATATGCATGGTAGTGTGTGTATTGCAATGAGAGTAAATGTTTTGTGCCACTCAGCTGTTCTGGTTTTCACTGCTGCTTTGGATCCTTGCCCACAAAACTTTGCGTCTAAAACCTGCAGCTGCCAAAGTATAATATAACAGCCTCTTAGCTGCTGTAAATCATGTAACTCTCTCGCCTTTAATGTCTTACATTGGTGGAGTTAACCTGATTTAAACCAGCTGGGGAGCTGGTATGCAGTGTGCAGCAGCGCAGACTGCGTAACTCTCATCTGTGCCTGCGACTCATAAATCCTGTTTCAATGCAGCGTGGCCAGGCCTGAGGGGCTGGGGGAGGGGCAGTGCATTTCAGTGATTGTGAGATGGAGAAGTGCTGGGAAAGTTACAGAGAGGACGAGCAGGGTTCAGTCTTAGGAGAAGCTGCTAAAGGGCAATGCCAGAATGAAATGGTCCTGGGATCTGCACTGCTCAGGCTGGAGAGGCTGTCTCTGAGCTAGAAGGAGAAACTAGACTGGCAGGGAGTAAGGCGGATAAGCAATCCGTAGTTGAGCAGCTCTTTTGTGGCCCAGCTCACGTTGATGTCGCTGTAATCCTGATGCTACAGGGCTTGGTCTCAGTGAGCCTTAGAGCAGGACCCCAGCCCTTGGCCCCGGTGCTCTCAGGGAGAGCTGTCTCAGCAGCATCCACCTTCCTCATGCTGCCTCTCTTCAACTCATACATGCTAAGCTGCAGCCACATCCTGGCTGTGTGTGAAAAAGAGATGTTAGTCCTTCTGTTTCACTGCCCCACTGCATTTCCATTCAGGTTTTCTGGCGTCGGATGAGATCATCTCATGCCGAAGTGCCATGTGGCTGAGGAGAACGGCTGGGGAGAGCAGTCAGAGCTGAGGCAGATGTGTGCTTTGTGATTTCTGTGGGCACGCAGCTGCTGGAGGTAGCACAGCACGAGAAGTATTGCTTCTCTCCGGTGTTGCATTCTCTCTACCTGCTCAGCTCTCTCGTAGTGTCGTCCAGGAAACCTCTTCCCTGCTGTCCCCAGTGAAAAAGCAGCTTTCTTCTTTGTTGAGTGATCACATAGGCTCTGCTGTTTAGAGCTGCTGGCTCTTGCTTCAGCCATGTTTTGAGGAGGGCTTTTAGGCACAGGTTTTTAGGCCTGGCAGTGAGCCCCCCAAACAAGAGGAGGTGCTGCTCCATGGCAAAACTGGTCCTTGCATAAGCTACCCAAGGCCTTCTGCATGATGCTGTCAGCACCCCACAGCTGAGCTGGAATGTCCAAGTAACAACAAGGCAACAGTTAATCTGGGAGCCAGAAAGGATGATGTAGTGGAAGAAGCCATAAGCAGAGCCTGTTTGCTTTGGTTTTGCTGGCTGTTTGGCAACAGAATCACTGTGTTGGACAAGAGGGAAAGGAGCAACGAGGAAATAGGACTGGATGACAAAGTGAAATCCAAGTTAATTTTGTCTGGAGCTTCTGCAGTTATCTGGCTAAAGTTCTCAATGAAGCATCTCTGTGGCTTATCTCTGTTGACTGGACCAAAGGAAATGTATCTGT